ATAATAAATAGCACATTTTATATCTGAAGCAGACGACTTCTCAAAAATTGTAGACCAGTGTAATTCTACATTTGTAAGTTCAACTTTCAAGATAAAAGTGATTGCACTATGGTACTTGTATTAGGCGAATTGAAAAATACGATATCTTGTGTTTCTTTACAGTGCAAATATTTGTAATCAAAAATAAATATAAAGTGAAATACTGTACTCTTTGTATTCTGTGTTGTAATTAAAATCAAGATATTTGAAAATGCTGAAAACATCCAAAATATTTAAATAAACGGTATTCTATTATTGTTTACTAGTGTGATTGAGATTAATTTTTTTAATCGCACGAGTAATCGCAATTAATTTTTTTAATAGATTGACAGCCCTAATTCTATTATTGATCCTTGACGGATGAAGCAGCACGCAGTAGATGCATGGCCGTACGTCCGCCTAGGAGCTGAGGGATGTTGCCGCTTCCGGGGAGAGACAGAGCCAGGTAGGGAGCCTGCCAGCCCCGCCAATCACCCCCTGCGGCACGCCCCCGACGCAGATAACCTCCCCAGCACTCCCCCGGGCCGCCCCCATCCCCAAGATTTAGTACAAGTCATGGACAGGTCACAGGCCATGAATTTTTGTTGACTGCCAGTGACCTGTCCATGACTTTTTTACTAAAAATACCCGTGACTAAAACATAGCCTTACAAATAACCCATGTGTAATAAACTAAATCAAGTGAAGCATTCAAGACAGGTTCAATCAGAAGAACTCTAACAGTAGTGCTGTTGTGTTTTGCACTTTGCACAGTTCGATGATAATCTGTGATAATTTATCCTAAAGCTTTTCATACACAGGAAGGCAATGCTAGTACATTGCATTTCTTCTTGCCTTCATACATTTCAGGTTCCAGTATTTAAAAAACCCAAACCAAAACAAAAAAAACACATACACAGTCTTTCAGTGACATAGTTATTAATCACACTGAGCTATTAATATGCTTATTTTATGTTATTCCAACTGAATTTATATGGTGCACGTTAGCTTCTAATAGAAGATTGTAGACATGGACACATTTTTACCCACGCAAGCCTTGACCAATATTCTGACTTAACAACTCTCTCATTGTGTAATCACTTTGCAGGCAACAGTCATTGCCGTCACTGGTAAGAACAATCCCCTTTATGTATTTTTTTAAAAGAGGTATTTTTGACACTACATGCATCCAATTCTTTTAGTTCTGTCACTTGTATAATTATCCTTCCTTGTTAAGAAACAGCAAAGAAGCTTTCCTAATGCAAACAATACTTCTGTGTATTGAAGTGGGCACCATCTGGCATACTCGCATTAGAGGAATCTCTCACACCTTAGTAACAGCAAACCTAATTTTGTACAAACAGCCCTTAAAAAAGATGGTGGAAAAACATATGCTTCATAGCAACATTCTGTCAAGATTTTAAAAAGGGAGGCTCCCCCAACCTTGTGATAAACCCACTCTTTCAGGAGAGGTGCAGGACTGCAGAATCCAGTCATTTAACTTCTTAAAGAAAAACTCCATCTTATAGCAATGGAAGGAGGCAACCCTGAATGACAAATAAACTTATAAGTCTAACTTCACTGGGAATGTGCAGCAAGTATATTGAGAGTACACGACCTGTATTCTTTGAAACAGTGGGAGGAATTCAAAGTTAAGAAGGGTAGAGGGAGGCCTTGTAGATGCAACCACCTTTTGAAATTATTATTAAACATCTATCTCTTGGCACAATATGGTATATGCAAAAGGCAAAAACAGTTCTCAAAATCTCTTTCTGGGCTTTTGGACACGTCACACCTGGCAAGAATGAACAAGATTAACAAAGCTGGGGAAGAACAGCAACTCCATCAAGGGCAGGGATGTCACTGCCAATTACCCTTTAATTTGGGATTTAAATAGAGGTTTCTGGAAATTGGGAAGTTGTTAATACTTCAATGAGCTGTGTTTGATAATACCCTCAACTTCCTCTTCTATTACACACACATGAGGAAGGATCCTGTTCTAGAATATCTAGTAAATTCAATTTTACATGTGATACATTTTGGTCTGACTTGAATCAGTTCTTATTTTCTAGATTATTAATCATCGTTCTACTGTAATAGTCAAGGTCCTGCTGCCTTCTTTCAGAAGGGAAGCAATGTAACATTGAAATATGACCCTATGGCTTCTGTTCTTCCATTCCTTTATAATAGAGAAAGGCAGGGTATTTGCCATAGCCTCTGTTGAGTTATAGGGTTTCTCTCATAAGTGGGAAAGCGCCATACCTCATAAGTGTCAACGAAAAGGAAGAAATATGAGAAGACTATTGGACATAAGAACGACCTATAACTCATATCTGGCAGTGATGTATTATACGTATTAATTGCTCAAAGAGCCAGATTTTCTTTTCACAGTACTGTAAAAAACAATCCCAGTAGAATACAATAAATTGAGCTAAAAAACAAAACTAATTGCCTTGATTAATGAAGCAGCAAGGATTTGGTTTTGACAATGCTAGTTACTGAATCAGTACCCAGTCATATGGCTGGTAATGGGGGCCCAATGAGAGCAATGTCCAAGTTCCACAAACAAACACTTACGCTTGCTTATCTTTACTCACATAAGCAGTCCCAGTGAAGCCCAGGGGACTACTTGTGTGCTTAAAGCCAACCAGGTAAGCAGGTATCAGCAGGATCAGGGCCTTTGTTCCATGGCTGTTCTCAGTCACAGAACAGGGTGTTGATTCAGGCCCCAACTTGGCAAAGAATTTAAGGACATGCTTAAGCTCATCCCTATTCAAGAAAGCTATGAAGCACATAATTCGCATTGACTTCCAAGTTCCATCAAGACCTAAGCATGTGCTTAAATGCTTTCCTGCTTAGGGATATTTTCCTGAATCGTGTCTTCACTATTTAGCACTGTCATAAATGCTGCTTTATAGAAACCACTGCAAACTAATTGCCTTATCGGGGCCTAAATGATCCAATATGATTTGATAAAATGTAACCAGAAAAGAACATACCTTTTCAGCATACTCCGACACTATCTGCTTGATCTCATCAGATTGGAGTCCAACAATCTGACCTACTGTGCTAGCTGTTAACCTGCCCTGCAATTAAACCAAGAAGCATTTATTGAAGCTTTGGGACAATCTATAGTAATAAATTGTAGGTTTGTTTGTAAAGCACCTCCCCCGGAACTATATAAATACAATACTATTTTAATGTAATCAAATCTGTTTATAAAAGAATGAAGCATGTAATGAAGTTCATCTTCCGCAGAACTCAGTAAACAAATGAAGCTTCTTACATGCCCTCCAGGAAGAAATGTAACTACTGAGGCTTCCTTCATAGCACCAATAATTCAACTAAATTTGAAGTCACCTTTGCAGACTGTCAAAGTGCTTTAGCTCTTGGGCAATACATATTTTTGCATTGTGCATGCAAAAGCATTCTGTAACAGGAATCAGTTTGGATCAACAACTTTTGAGCCAAATTATTGCCATGTAGGTGTGTGAAATAGTGTTTGTCCTAAATCATGTGTTTAGGGAAGCCAAATCTCTCTCCTAAGATGAAGAATTCAAGGAGGCATCTGATCACAAAGCAAGTCTGTCATGTCCACCATTTGTCAAATGAATTTCTGTCCATTTGGTACATCAGAAAATGTGAAAGGTATCAAGATTTTCAAAATAGTACAGAGATGTTTACTATGTTTATTGATACATCCGGAATCACTATGCAATTGCAGGGAAAGGATAATAATGCAAACAAGCAACATTTAGATGTTATGTTATATCAAAGATATCAAATCTTAGATGTGATGTGTTGAATGCAATGAAATGCACACAATATTTTTTCCAGTAAGAGGAATACCCTATCAGATCCCTACCTTAGCTCTGTAAAGTAAAAGTGTGAGAAAGTCTAGGTTACACAAAGGCTTCATATGTTTAAATGCCATTTCAAGGGCAGTTGCATTGTAGTATGTTTATTTATGCAATTATTTCTGCAGAAACCACTTAAGCAGCACTAGAATTATGCAAAAGCCGCAATCATTATTTTAGGGTGAAGGATTTTAAGTCAGAAGTCTTATGAAAAGTACTCTCTCATGTTCAATCATCTTTCCCTGTATCCATTTTTAATACATAATTTCAGTACCTCATGCCGACTTACAACTGTTAACCATATTTCAGGAACAATGACAGCTTTCAAAGCCAATGGCAGATATAGAGAGGAAATTCAGGGGCACAAGTAATTTAAGTGTTGTTAACCGTGCTGAACTGATTTATTATACAGCAAAAAAACCAGACTCCTGGGATTGGAGCACTCTATTATTTTAATCTCTGTAACTACACAACAGTCCTTTTATCTGACTAGCAAAGTCTCAATGCACTTTGGGCCCAACCCAAATCCCAATAAAGTCAATGGGATTCTCTCTGCTGATAAATTTACTTTGAATTCTGATGGCTAAGATATATCAATGCGCATAAATGTTGAAATTGTCGCTTTGCTTTAAGTATTGCTTACCTCTTCTGTTGCCATTGCAGCCATTCCAGTCATCAGTGTTTTAATGCGAAGCTAATGAGAAAAGAAAGATAAGAGAGAACATGTAAACAAAACAATTACCATTATTGGCCTTTAAATACTTAGCATACTTCTGTTCTATGAGAGTTCTCATCAGCCAATCAATCCAATTTGCATTCTATTTTAATGCTCCTAACAGAAGAGTAAACTTAACGTTACCACAAAAAGAAGAACAGGAGTACTTGTGGCACCTTAGAGACTAACAAATTTATTAGAGCATAAGCTTT